CCACCTGCTGTGCTGCAGAAGGGAGAACTCTATTGATTTTCGATTTACTTTATTTGTCATGCACTTGTTGGGGTGGGTGAGGGAGGGGGGGGGGGATGAACTTAAACTTCTGAGTGTGCAAGACAGGGTTGCGCTGGAGCCTATTATTGTAACCAGTAAATCAATTGTACTTTAGAAGAGATGGCACCATATATTTTATGCAAGGCCTTAAGAAACCAGAGACGAACAAGGAGAGTAAACAAGTCAGTACGATAGGGATATCGCCTTTGGTTTTGTAGCGGGTAGTACACGAATAAACAGCCGAACAAACTTTAGCAACTTTCAAAACCGCCTTCAATAACGAAAAAGAGAAGATATTGGGCTCAGAGCGTGTATTAGCAACATGGATAACCTATTACCATTCTTAGTCATTAAATGCGAAGAATGTTATTTTTCGTTGTATAACCTCGATTGCTGATTGGCTGAGAAATTCATGCGTTCAAATTCGCACTTTCCAGCATAATCAAGCTCACATGGGGTTTATTTGATTAACCATGATGGCGTTGTGTGCCCCCACGAGTAAAATTTATAATTTGATGTATTTCCATGCTTTTCAATCATGCATGAAACCAAAATAAAACTGGTTTACTATTGCGTACTAACATTTATTTACTTAAGATGTGGCACACAGAGACTGGTTTTAAAAATGGTTTTACTATTGTGCAAATAATGAATCAAATCATCAGTATAAATTCCTGATAAAGAATAGTTAACAAATTAAAATGACCTTAACTTTGTTTTTTAGGTTTGATACTTTAAAATAGCTGAATATCTCTCAGGCATTACTGAATTCAAGCACCTTCAGAAATGCCTTATAAATTCCACTGAAAACCACAGCTGATAACAAAAAAATAATTACGGCTACAGGATGTGATGTCACAGAAGACTTCAGCCGTGGCTGGCTTGGATGAGCAAGTGATTATTTAAAAAAATTTATATTGAATGACCAATAGCTGCGTGGGAAACACTAGTGGGTGTGAGTTAGGGCAACAATAAGGGACCATTCCTGAAATGATTAAATTTCAATATGTCTTCGAAAGAATGACTAACTTTTTTCATTATAACAATAATATTTGGAGCAAAAATAAATAGCGAATAATAACAGCGATTATTTTTCTACTAAATACACACAATCTCAGAATGAAGTAATAGCAGTTCCTACAAATTACCTAATTAAAATGGTAACCAATGGAAAATAAATATCTTAATTAAAGCAAGGACTTCATGGCTTTGGAAATGATCTAACTGTAGTTGATCGAGGCTTACAAATTGGCTGAAGGCAGTCAAATTTGGGGAAGTTCAAATTCACATGGATGGAAAATCACATTATCAATAATCTGGAACTCGAAATCTTTTTCACATAGGTATCTTCTATAAGATATTCTCTTTATATATTTTGAGGAGATATAAGCTTTGAGCTACTTAGCCACAGGATATAATCTGTTGAAATCTGTCTTCAGGTAAGTTAAGGATCAATTGAAAGTAGGCGCCAACTTACCAAAAGTTGGAAGTCTCTAGAGTGACCAAATATGTCGATTGAATAAGTATACGCGCGTGAATTGTTTAAAATGGCTGGAATAGCCCCTCTATGAACAGAATGTACCACGTTTTCTAATATTTAGGATATTTTACGTAAGCAAAGGGGGGAGGGAGGTAGTGGGCGACAGGTATTTCACTCGTAGAGACGCTTCAGAGGATCGAGCTTGGTGGACTAAAATGCATACACTTTCCTTATGTAAATTAAAGCGGGTTTCCCCACGCCTTCGACTGTCCCAGCCTCTGCGTCTAACGTGATCTAAATAATTTAATATGCGAGGATGATCCAGAAAACTGGATTTCTGAAGCGAAAGAAACCATTACTTGGCCGTCCAAATGCCTTAACGTGTGTCCTCAAAGGCCAATTATTCGTTCTAATAATTGTTAAAAGACGTGGGGTGTGCGATAGACTTACCTCCACGTATACTCATACGGCAAAAAAGTCTATTAACTGGCAGTCGACCTCTGACTTCAAACTTCCATAACCCCGCTGTATGTCATATTCGACCCCTTCACAGTACTCATCTAGCCTTTTCTCTGCCTTGTGTCTGTCTGTCTGTCTGTTACATCTGTGAATCTCTCTTCTGCTCACCCTCTCGAATTTTTCTCACTTTAATGTTCCTCCCTTCTGTGAAGCCCGAAGTCAACTAAAGGGCTAATGATAACTATCAAAATGCCTGCCATTTGAAATAAATAAATAATTAATTAAAAGACGTGTTCACTCCGGTTCATTTGAAAAACATCCTACTGTGTTGCAGTCCAAAGAACTGTCATCGCGTTATAACAGATTCTATTATTATTGGAAAAATTATAGAGAATTATTCAATTATTTTATGCTTGTGTGCAGCAATATTACCACCCCCTTCTCTCTATTTCTCATGCGCAGCACATTTAAATAATTTAAATGGATGATATTTTCGTTAATTCAATGTCTGCAAAGTGTGAATTCATTAAAAGTGTTTTTTTTTCATGAGAGGAAATTTTTCCCTTATTACAGGCAGTAATGGAAAAATTGCGCGAATTTTTCCAGTTGTGAGAAGTAAGTGGAATTGGTGAACAGAAAGCCCAGTAAAGAATGGAAGGAAGAAAGAAGAGAACTGCTAAAAAAAGGAGTACGGTGTCAAGCCTCGTGCTGCATTTGATTTTTGTCCATAGGATTGTGAGAAGTTCCGAAATTCCAATTTCGCACGGTTCGTTTCTCGAGTTGAAGCAAATATGCTTGTCCATGATTTTGACAAGTTGTTGATCCGGTTTTCGAGAATGCTCAATTCTTCTGCTTCATTTCATATCTTCCAAAAGTTTTGGAAAGCAAAATGAACTTGCGTGCTACCCAACAGTTTACTTTTTTTCTCTCGCAAAGATGAGCACGCACTGTAAGTCCTGCTCACTCGCGATGAGTCATAAAATCCTTTTGTTTTAACTGTCCTTCACTTCTCTTTGGGGTTAATCATAAAACTCCGTGACCAACAACTTTGCCTATTGTCCTTAATTCCAACGACCAACATAGTTTCATAAACGTGTCCTGATCAGCGGATTATAGAAGGCAATGATATTAGTTGAGAATACTCGTAATCCCAATGAAGAGATAATTTTAATTAAAATGAAGATAATGTTAGTATTCAGGGGTGTGCGATAGACTTACCTCCAAGTGGCGCACCCTGGGCAACGTATACTCATGGACAAAAAGGTCTATAAACCGGCAATTAACTTCTGAGTTCAAACTATCATGACTTCACTGCATGTTATATTCGACCACTTCTACAGTACACACTTCACCTTTCATCTACCTTTGTGCCAGTCTCTTTTACATCTTTGAAACACTCTTCTGTTCCCGCCCCCCTCTCAACTTTTCCGCTTTGTTGTTGCTCTTCCTCTGTGAAGCCTGAAGTCAACTAAGGGGTTAATGATAGCTACCATAAAGCCTGCATTTGATATANTAATATTCTACATACAGGGGTGTGCGATAGACTTACCTCCACGTGGTGCACCCTGGGCAACGTATACTCATACGGCAAAAAGGTCTATTATTTGGCAGTTGACTTCTGACTTCAAACTACCATCACCCCATAATATCCCATATTCGACCCCTTCCACAGTGCTCATCTTACCTTTTCTCTGCCTTTTTGTCTGTCTGTCTGTCTCTGTTACATCTGTGAATCGCTCTCCTGTTCCCCACCCCTCGACGTTCTGCTACTTTGATGAACCTTCCCTATATGAAGCCCGAAGTCAGCTAAATGGCCAATGATAGCTATCAAAACGCCTGCCATTTGAAATAAATAAATAAATATTCTACATACAAGGGCACGGAGAAAAAGAGCAACAAAGGCCCCAAGTGGAACACAACGTGAGGAGGCGTACTTTTGGGAGAATATATTTTAAGTCGAAAATGAAAGGTTAAGAACTCATTCAAGGAAATTCACCATGAACACTAATAGCAAAGACTTGGTAAGGCAAGTCGTGCCTTTCTGTGTGTGGGTTAGATCTTTATTCGAACTGCCTTATGCCAATATGAACTATAAGGAAGTAAATGGGAGGTGGTGGGGAGACGGGGGAGGGGTGGGGGGTAACAGAGTGAGTGAGTCACACTTATCATCTGATCACATAATCGTGAGTTGAGGTTTCAATTTAAGAAAGAAAATATAGCAAAAAAATTGCATTTACAAACGCCACGAACTCCCCCCCCCCCAAAAAAAAGGTGAAAAGCAAAGAAGCAAATTAAAATAAATTTAAAATGCATAGAGTACGAGTGTTCACGGTTTTTTCTCATCCGAATACTCAAAATTTATCAAAACAATAATTCCTTGAGGTTGTCACCAATCTAAATGGTAAACCGAATCCCTGGGAGCTTGGAACCAAATGATTCTCCAGGAAAGCTATTACAAACATGTCAAACCCGCATGCGCATATGCTAATTCAAAAATTTCAGCAAAATTGTGAATCAGCCCAAGTTAGCTATTTATAAAAATAAATTCACCCCATGTGACTCAATGCGTGTGAACTCCCAAGCATTTTCACACATGAAATAAAACCTTTTAAAAAAGCAATCCCACAGTGCCATAGTTAAAGCTATCTTAATTGGCCAATCAGGTGCGTCCTGCCGCAGATTGACATTCAAATGCCAGAAAGTATTCTCAATTAAGAAGAGAAAACACCAGCCACTCTAGAAGAGGAAATACATCCAAGTTGAGGGGAAGGGAGAAGTCACTCCTTTCAATCAAAGCTGCAGAAATATTTTAAGAAAAAAAGTGTTTTCGAGAATAATCAAATAAACGCATATCACTGCCAATCGACGCACCAACACTCACAACTTTTGCGAATAAGCACGCTAGAATTAGTATAAACAAAAAACGCAGACTTACGAAAAAGGAGAAAGAAGGGATGTTGGGTAGGAGGAGGAGGATGAGAAACATCATTCCTCAATGTCCTCACTTCTTGGTGGCTGGGAATGCAGACTTGCCCTTAGCGCCCTGAGACACAAAAAATGGCCAAATTAACCAGGCCCAATTAAGATACTTAACAAATTTAATGCGCACACACACACCTCTGACGATTTACTGGGACGACCGGCGCATTCTTCGATTACCTCCGCGGCTTCAAACTTGCCAGAACGACGGTAAAGTGCGCCGAGATTACGAAGGGTGGTGGCTATTGTAGGACTAGATGGGCAAAAAGGTTATTAGTAAACCAGTCACTTTAGCGAAGATATGAAGAATACTTTGGATGAAAACACATGGCAAACACACAGAAACTGACGACACAATAACTAACAAATACTAAGAAGGTGAACTGCATACACACACACACACACACACACACACACACAAGTCCAAACCCGCAATCCTTGAAGTGAGATATAATTTTAAACTTACACAGGCAATTCTAATAAAGTTTCGAAAGAAGAGAAATCATATTTTGAAATTTCTTTAAAATTCATATTTCTTCCAAAAAGGCTAACTATTTTGGAAAACTAGATGAAAAGGGGTAGAAGTAGATGGAGAAGGCAATTAAAGCATTCAAACGACTATAAGAAGTGCATCGATGNTGGAAAGCAAAATGAACTTGCGTGCTACCCAACAGTTTACTTTTTTTCTCTCGCAAAGATGAGCACGCACTGTAAGTCCTGCTCACTCGCGATGAGTCATAAAATCCTTTTGTTTTAACTGTCCTTCACTTCTCTTTGGGGTTAATCATAAAACTCCGTGACCAACAACTTTGCCTATTGTCCTTAATTCCAACGACCAACATAGTTTCATAAACGTGTCCTGATCAGCGGATTATAGAAGGCAATGATATTAGTTGAGAATACTCGTAATCCCAATGAAGAGATAATTTTAATTAAAATGAAGATAATGTTAGTATTCAGGGGTGTGCGATAGACTTACCTCCAAGTGGCGCACCCTGGGCAACGTATACTCATGGACAAAAAGGTCTATAAACCGGCAATTAACTTCTGAGTTCAAACTATCATGACTTCACTGCATGTTATATTCGACCACTTCTACAGTACACACTTCACCTTTCATCTACCTTTGTGCCAGTCTCTTTTACATCTTTGAAACACTCTTCTGTTCCCGCCCCCCTCTCAACTTTTCCGCTTTGTTGTTGCTCTTCCTCTGTGAAGCCTGAAGTCAACTAAGGGGTTAATGATAGCTACCATAAAGCCTGCATTTGATATAAATATGTTAGTATTCATGTCGATGAACCAGCTATCGATAAGAAAGCGTCATTGTCAAAAGTGCATTGCTTTTGTGCATCATTCTCAAGGAAGTAGTTGAAATAAAAAAACCAAAACTTTACCAATAACTAACATTAACTGAAATACTTATTGTCATTATGCACTAGGCTAGAGGGAAGTACTATGTCTTTTCTGAATATATGTCGTGCTCACATACAGCGATATGGGTTACAAATAGCTATGACCAGTCTTGAAGGGGCCCCACCTCCGACAACCATGGAACGTCTAATGAGAGTATTCTGTGTATGAGATGTTAGCTCTGCTTAGTAATGTTTGTGTTTACTTAACTTGTTTATGTTAGTGAATTGAGTCACAATATAGCCCCTAGAAGTCATTGAAAGCTGACTCAAAATTGACAGGCTGAAGACTTTGAAGTTCGCTAACTATGATTAGGAAAGTTGAACGCTATTAAAACAGACAAAGACTACACTTTACGGTATTGTTGAATAATTCGTGATTAATAATTTAGAAGTATATTTATTCAACTAACAATCCTTTAAAGTTCAAGTTGGCGACTTGAGATTGGAAATAAATAAAGTGCACTTCTCAATATTTCCTACTGTACTTCTCTAACTCGACAAGTACGAAATGCCTTTTGTGGCAAACAATTTCTTGACTGGATAGGTTTTTGAAAGTGGGCTGATATATTGAAAATTGCACTGAATTCTATTTTTTTTCAGGAATAAATATTTCTTTATCACGTGTTTGGAAGCCGTGCTCTAAACACCTTGAAGGTTAAGATGTTAATTTATTTTGTGAAATCATTCAATACGTTTAATGAATTCGTGATAAGTATATCTACTCTAAAATTTGAGGTTAGTACAATGTAGTTAAATTGCTTACATGATTACTATTATCTTAGCAAAAGTTACCGATCACTAAAACAAATGGACAATTTGTATAGCCAGCTTAATAGAAACATGAATTAATTTTGATAGTAACACAGGGTTCAATTGTACTTGGTCTTCAACCAATCAGGTGCCATCAACAGAGCACCAACAAAAGAGAAACTGAATTGTCAAGGCAAACGAATACAAAGAGGTATGCGGCGAAATTAGCTATTATACGCTCAAGGAATCGAGAAGACAGAACATATTTGATGGAAATTCTTTATTGAATAGGTTGGGCAAACTGCCAACTTGCTTTGCCACTAAAAACAGTTAATGTCTTTCTACCTAGCATAAACTCGATTTTTGATTGGCTGAGAGATTTTTGTATGCATTGCTTAACTTTTCAGAATGCTCAAGTGCGAATGAAATCGCTTTGCATTAAAATTGTCATTAAGGGGTGTCCGATAGACTAACATCTACGTGATGCACCCTGGGCAACTTATGCTCATACGGCAAAAATGTATATAACTTGGCAGTTGACTTCTGACTTCAAACTACCATCACCCCACTGTGGCAGTTGACTTCTCACTTCAAACTACCATCACCCCATTGACGGGCAACGTATACTCATACGGCAAACAAGTCTATAAACCAATGGGCAACGTATACTCAAACGGCATACCTCCACGTGGTGCACCCTGGGCAACGTGTACTTACAACCTCCATGTGGTGCACCCTGGGCAACGTATACTTATGCGGAAAAAAGTCTATTGACTGGTAGTTGACTTCTCACTTCAAACTACCATCACCCCACTGTATAGTTGACCACTGACTTCAAACTACCATGACCCCACTGTATGCCTTGACTTCTGACTTCAAACTACCATGACCCCACTGTATGTTACAAAGTATACTCATACGGCAAAAAGTCTATAAACCGGCAGTGGACTTCTGACTTCAAACTACCCTCACCCCACTATATGTCACAACTTCTCACTTCAAACTACCATCACCCCACTGTATGTCATTGTGTATGCTCATACGGCAAAAATGTATATAACTTGGCAGTTGACTTCTGACTTCAAACTACCATCACCCCACTGTATGTCATATCCCACCACTTTCACAGTACTCACCTTACCTTTTTCTCTATCTTTGTGCTTGTTTGTCTCTTTTACATCGGTGAATCACTCTTCTGTTCCTCCCCCCCCTCCTCGACTTTCTGTTACTTTGATATTCCTTCCACCTGTGAAGCCCGAAGTCAGCTAAAAGGCTTATGATAGCTATCGAAACGCCTGCCATTTGAAATAAATAAATAATTGTCATTAATTCATCTGCGGGCTGACCCCCTAAAGTCGGTTATTTGAGGAAGTATTTTTAGTGTAATTTTTTGATAAGTAACTTTATCGTCTTGGTAGCAAAGTGTTTCACCTTTCCCTTTAGACATACACTGATTGGGATGCCTTTGAAAAGCTTTTGAAAATATAGAAGAGAAAAAGCGAAGGCCAACTTTTCCTTTTGCTTTCGAATACTTCATATTCACCCTAGAAGTAATCCATTTGCCTGTAATTACTAGTAAGGTAAGACGACTACGCCAATTAAATAAAAGAGAACCGAAAAATTTAGTCAAACTTGAGTGGTAGGTGAACCCAAGATCTTTCGAAACACCAGCTAATAAATTACAGAGTACAACCAAACCGCGAAATTTGGGCAAGTTGGTAGTGGGCTGTATGGAGCATGAGGTACAGCGCATAAAAGTGAAGTAGAGAAAAAGAGACGGAGAAAAGAGAAAGAGCATAGTAATATAAACACTCAAGTAAGTTGATTGAACTCGTCGCACAATGTCACTAAATAGATGCATGACAGTAGTAGAATGAGTAAGTATAGGGTGCACAATAGAATATCTAACCAAAGATATCTACTAATTCATTGGATTGAGAGGTGTCTGGTTGAGCAGGCTGAGTTGGAGTGGTACTACGGAGTCCTTCACCTATTAGATCATCCACTGCAACCCCTCCTTCTATGGTGACCTTATTTTCTGCCTCGCATTTAGTATTCAGTCCCACATTCTTCTCCTCCTCTGGTTCTTGTTCGGAGTCTGAGGAGGAATTCTGCGCTTCGACTTCAACATCCAATATTCCTACCAGAGGTTTGTCCTTTCTATGACCCAACTGGTAATCAATACTCTTGGTAAGACGATACTTGGCTGTGTACTTAACGAACTTTTCGGCATTGCCTGTGGTCTCTACGGAAATTGACCGGACTGTTGTTCCAGAGACTGTGCTTGACGGCATGGTGAATTCTATATGGACATCCTTTTCGAGAGTATCCCATTCTGGAACAGTATCATGAGGACTAAGCAGAAGGTTGCAGGTTAGGAGATGAGGTCGGTAAGATGCTAAAACAAGATATCCCTCGTCAGATTTAATTCATATTGGATTATTTAATACAGGTCTCACTAAAATTACCTTCATTCTTATCAGGAATTCTAGGAATTCGCCAGACAATCGCCTTGAATATATGTTCGTATTTGGCCAATCCAATGCTGGCTTCCAGCAGGCTTGGTGGAAGTAAACTTTGAGCCATTTGAGTAATTCTTTCCAGACCCTTTATTTTGCCAGGCTTTCTCAAGGTGGAATGAACGGAACCCATCTTGTTGTGCTTTTCCACTCTGAAGTGATAGATCCACTCTTCGGGGACTGGTATCCGGATCTCCACATCTTCACAAGGAGTGGCACCTGAACGTCCGGTTGCTGTAAAGTATCCAGGTACCATTAATTCACAACGCATTGATATTTTTCGATCGTCGATTGAGTATGTGCAGTGAATTTGCATAGGAAGCTCTCGATTATGTCTTAGACTTACTCTGAATCGCATGAGTTCAAATTTGCAACCATCCAGTGGATAGAACTTCAGAAGGTGGTCCTTGTCATAATCATTCATTTCCAGAAGGGAATGAAATTCTGGCTTCCAGATTGTGATCCAGTCATCATGGAGGACTGGAAGGATATCCGATCTTCGAACAACCTCTCTTCCAAACCTCCATTTGTCATTGATTCCCAATACTATATGCGGACTACCGTTCACGAATGCGCTGCAGAATATCCTGGTCCTTGCCTTCTGTTCCTCAATTATTCCAGCAACAGAAAGCTTTCCAACGTATTCATCGACGACGTAGCAACAAACCTCTTCATGTGTGTAGTTAATGCCCTCATCTTTATGTGCAGGAATCTTCATTAATGAATCTTCAAGAACCGTCATCAGACTTCGCATGAGAGGCCTATCCATTGATCCGAATTTAAGAATCTCCGTATATACAGGAAGATGATCCAGAACAACGTTTTGCTTGGGTTTATGTGAAATGAGATTTTGGAAGGTCTTGATAGAGAACTTTTCAGGTCTCATACCAGGAAGCTCCTTGTAGGCAACATGATTGACCTTAAAGATATTCAACTTTCCATACTTATCATACTGCTGGAGTTTACAACGAGACAGTTGCATGTAGGGTTCTACTCTGAGTGTTCGGTAGGGCTGTTTGATATGTTCTTTTGACTCTGGATCAATATCATGCAGATTGATTTCACAACGGCCTCGATCATCTGACAGCGTGATTGCAATTTCCTTCCAAGTTCTATCCGTTGTATACTTGCTTACTTGTTTCATCTTCTTTTTCTTTTCTGGATATCTAATCCACATTCTCCATACGGGATTTTCAGGCGGTGGAGGATTGAAAGGAATTTCCAGCTCAGGGTCTGGTGTTTCAGATCTGGGAGCTTCTGGTATAGCTGCCACTGGAACAGGTGGCTTAGTCCAATCCACCTCAAAAGCCTTCATAAGCTCATTATCTGTTGCTTCGGTACTTTCTTCTGGCGCAGCAGTTGTGTCGGAAGTGAATGTTTCCCATCCCTCAGGAACTTGGCTATCACATTCCAAATTTGCCGATCCGACAGTCGTCTTAGAAAACCCACTTTCAAAATCATCACCCGCTACAATTAGATCACCAGAGTAAGCAGGAGTTTCCGTTTTTGGAGGAGCTGGTAAAATAGGGATATTTACTGTTTCTAATTTCGATTTTTCATTATTTAATTTCTCCATCTTTATGGATATCTGAGGTATTGTCCTGTCAGACTCATCTTCATTCTCGCTGGAACTTTCCTTATCTGAAGTAGGGTAGATTGTTTGGAACGGATCGAAGTCCTTGTCTTTTGGAGTTGTGGCTATTTCAGAATTTTCATATTCATGAGAAGCTTCTTCTTCCACATCCTCATCCTCATCATGGACAGACTGACTGAAGAGCGTGACAGTAGCAAGGGTTGTCTTCTCATCATCCAACGCTAGCTGCTCGTCATTCGGTTCCTGATCAGCATTCTCAGAATTTTCAGTTCTTGATACTCTTCGAAAGGGATTATTCTCTGTTATAGTACCTTGTCTGACTGCTTTGGGTTTGATTCGCCCACTATTTGTATAGAGCTCTACAATTTCTGGCGCAATTGCCTGAGTTTCCATTTCTGTCTCGGCCGTACCTATAACATCCGAGACGAATTCATTTACTTCAGAGCTGGCAACACTGCTTATTTCTTGTGCTAAATGCTTCTCACCATCAGAATCATCATATCCATATGAAGTATCAAATTCGGTTGGCTGTGAATTCTGCTTTACATTGTCGTTAGAATTGGGTAAATAATCGTAATGATAATCCTTTGTATGTTCATGATCGGTAACCGAAGTGGCTGTTGATGATTCTTCCATTACTGTAGGTTCATCGACTGATGATTGGTAGATTTCAGTAGTTACTTGTGAAGATGGGTCGTCGTAACCGTAGTGTTGAATTTGACTTGGGGTCGAAGAATGCTGATCGAAAGAAGAAGATTGGGATATTGATGTTTCTCTTGATTTTTCTTGTATATTTCTCGAGATAAGTTCGTTTTCAAAGTTAGCTGGAATGTCTGGCTTTCCTTGTTGATGGGAAATCTGTGCTCCAAGTGACTGAATTTGGTCTTGATAGGATTCTTGAGCGAATTGTTCGGACGACACTAATGGATAATCGCGATGAGTATCCCTAGGTTCGGATTCAGACCAGCTGAGATCGATGGGTGCTTTTTCAGTGGTTTTAGGTGAGCCTATTGGAGAATCAAAGCCTTGTTCAACGTTACCCAAAGTCGCTTCAGTTAAGGTTTCAACTATTGACCTTTGATTTTGCTCAGATTCGATTTCAAACCAACTTAAATCTTGGCAGTCTTGAGATTTCGACTGTCCGTCTGGGTAATCTGCCCTTCCCTCCTCTTGATTTTGTGCAAAATTTGCCCAGTTATTACCAGAAGGTACGCCAGATGCGGATTGTCCTGATTCAGGAAACCTCAAAGCTACAAGATCAGCCCAATTATCGGTCTCTACTTCTCTCTCAGGTTGTGGTTGAGAACTCCACTCTTCAACGGCTGTTTGATTTAAGTTGAGTGAGGTTAGATCAATAGACGGATCGCCACTTCGAAGATGATCAAAATCTGCCCAATCGTCCTCTTGAACAACTGGTTCTGTTGATTGATTAAAAGGTTCCCCTTGTAGGGGTTGTCCTGAATGAGTCTCCTGATAAGAACTTTCTTCGATGTGATTTTGTCCCTCTGATTCTTCTTCCTCAAATTCCGCCCAGTTTTCAACAACCTGCGGTTCTTGATGTGCCTCAAAGTTGGCCCAACTGCTTGAAGACTTCTTCTTATCTGGGGTTGGTTCAGCAGCCCACTTCAATGACTCAAGTCTCGAAGTAGTATCAGTTACGGTCGCTTGAATTCGAGCCTGAAACTCACGCCAGTCAGAGAGATAACTTTTGGCTGGGGAAGCCTGATGATCTTCTTGTGTTTTTATTGGTTGAGCTTTGGGTGCTGCTTTGATTATTCGCTCAAGTTCGGCCTTTTCTTTGCGTTTTAGGCGTTGCTTGCGCTTTTCACCCCCAATTATATTCTGAAGGCCTTTCTTAGGATTGGGGAGGATGTGCTTCTTTTCGAAATGACTTTGGAAGGGGAAGTTTGGATCAGGATCTGAAGGAAGAGGACCTAAAATGAATGCAATTGCTAAAAATCTAATTAAGAGTGTATAAAACAATGGCATTCCACTGAAAGAACAAATTCGTATAATATATAAATATGATCCAATGCTTCAAGATTAAATTATTAGTGTTATTGCTTCCTGTTTCAAATGAGTAGGGAAGAGATAAGGCATGTATTATATGTTTCGGGTTGATGTTTAATTTATCAGCGACATCTTAATGATAGCCTAAGCTGTAAGCAATGCTAAAACTTGAATAATACTTCAGATTCTACACCCCCATCACTATTTCGGGAATTCTTATTATAACACTGCTCAATTCAATAGCTTGAAATAGCATGCGTACCCACACAGTCTCCAAGTGCGGCGTGAGCCCGGAGACATATCAGCCAGCCACCGATTAACAGACCCAGCATTGTTTAACAAACCTTTCAATGCATTTTGATGACTAAGCTCTGTGACAGGCACAACATTCTAAATTAAAGTGTTCCACACCGTATGTCTGTTTCCTCTATGTTGTTGAGGCGATTTTGCCCCAGAGATTATAGAAAAATGTCAAAGCTTGTTGGTGAAGCAAATCGCTACAGGCCGAAGGTAATGTTCACTATTTTTAAGAAAACAAAAATAAAAGACAGTATTTATAATGAAACGTGATTTTAAAAAAATGAATAACAAATAATATGCATTAGGACAGTGCCATCACTCGCTTGGCTAATTCAATAACTTTATAAAATTGAATTGTATTGCCTTTATCATGACTGTCTCCAGCTTACGGTACCCAACGTCTTTCAAAAATTTGGTGACCTAGGGTTACAATAGACTTACCTCCACGTGGTGCATCCTTGGCAACGCATGCTCATACACCAAAAGAGTCTATCAGCTGGCAGTTGAATTCTCACTTCTAACTACTATGACCCGACACTATGTCATGCTACACCACTTACAGTACTCATCTTACCTTTTCTCTACCATTGTGTCTGTCTCTCTTACATCTGTGAATCACTCTTCTGTCCCTCATCTCGAATTTTTCCCCCTTTGAAGTTTCTCACCTCTATGAAGGCCGAACTCAGCTAAAAGGCCAATGAAAATTATCAAAACGCCTGCCGTTTGAAAGAAATATTTGGTGACATCGTGTATTTATATTATGCAAACTACTGCTGTAAGGTCGCTGAAGGAAATAGATGAGATGGGGATAGCATAACCGACTTTCTCCGATTTCCAAACAGAAAACTTGGAAGGTAACCCGCCTACTAAGCATGTATCATGCAATTTGAGTAGAAAACGTGATAAAGACTCACGGACACCTCAAATTTGCTCACAATAACTTCTGGTTTCCTTCTTCATCATTTCTTGGACACATAGCTAATTGAGTTAAGCAACATCTAGCACTAAAAAATAATTTTTTTAACTAATGCCTATATCAACGTTAGTTGCATTCCTACTGATATTAGACTGTAATGACGTTAATCATTTTTGGCAAAAAATCGCGTGACAAATTCTTTCAAGTTGATTTAATAAAGCCTTTTTGGGAGAAAGCTGATGAAAAAATGGCAGCAAAGTGATTCGAATTGGGACAATCAGCCTTCTACATTAATTAAATGGCCAGTAAATGCTAAATACAATGAGCAAAATTCACTAAATGACCCTACATACAAATCAAAAATTTTAAATATCGGAAAGTAAAGCAGTTGCGGTGGCATTTTACCAACTTAATAGGATTTTAGAACGTATAGCATTTCTCAGCCTCACTTGATCTTACACTTAATAATGTTTAAGCTGTGGAATACGCACCAATAACACGGTTGAACTAAGTAATCACATGTGCGTGAGCACTTTGGAACATGTGACCGTGATATTGACCGCTTTAGGGGACCAAAAAAGGTCTTGAGTGCAGTGACCCATCAGTCGGGCAAGAATTATTCGTCATTACAGGATCATCTTATCCAAAACCGCTTTAACTGAATAAGCTCTGTGTCAATGTCCCCACACATTTCCATCATATATATTCATCATCATTCTACGTCATAAATCCTATTTCCTCTATACTTCTTGGGTAGTTCGTTAATATCAACAGAATGACATTTTAGGGCATCATGCCACATAGAGACTGTTGAGGTTTAGTCATAGTCGATCCCTTTATTTCAGGATTGCATTAATTTGTCAAAAACCACCCCGATTTCAAAGCTTATTGTGAAAATAAAAACGGCAATATATATTTATATATACTCAAAGAATAACATTTAAAATCGCTTTTTTCCTAAATCTAAAGGAAATTCTATGGGTTCTATTTTGATCACTTGTTTTTTTAATGAACCAAAGTCAGTAATTTCTAAATATAGTTCAAATTTCAAAATTATCAGTGAATATTATTAATATTTTGGCAGATAATGACTCCAAATAATAATTAAATAAAGTCAGCTTAAGTGCCTCAGAGATAAATCCAATTTTATGTGAAAAACTGTTAAATAAATAAATTCGTCTGACAAGTCAATTATTTTAACTTTTTTTGAAATAAGAGGACACAGGCGATAGTGGCAATTAATTCTAATCCACTTAGCTATTTAAAAGAATAGATAAACATTAATTAAAGTAAGCGAGATAATTGCTAACACTTTAGGGAATAGGCATTTTCCAATCCCGAAGTCGGCTTGCTATGGCCAAATTAAATTAAGCTATAGTAGGTAAATATTTAAAACCAATTCGTTGAATTTGTCCATCCCCGAGTTGGCTTCTGTTATCAAAATAAATAAAGATCAATCGCAAATGGTTTAAGCGTCAAGAAAATGATAAAGCATTGATGCATCTTGATTGATGTAAGCAATTGATTGGAGAAGGCAAGTAAAAATGACTTGTGCGAGTTTTAGTTGAACTCAATGGAAAGTTTATTAGAAATGTCGAATATTTAAGAAAAATTGGAATTTTAATGACAGCCTCTCACATAGTCATTAATTTCCGTTCCATTTTGAATGAAAAGTTCTGGTTAAGTCAATTATTTCGTTGGTAAATTGGAGGTTTGTTTCATGATTATCTAGCGCGCTTGCAAGACCGAATCTAACAAAGAGATGATTAAGATAAAAGGAAAGATAATGGCTTATACAGATTGCTTTGACAATTTATTTTGGTTCGTTGTTTTTTCTTTTAGGCTACATGGGATATTGCAAATTTTATTCAAATTTTTTAACAAGCCATTACTCACTAATTTCAAAATTAAGCAGGCGAAAATAGTAGAAAAGTTGTCAATGATAAAAACCCGATATTATTTTTAAATAATAAAAATGACAAAAAGAGGATTCTTAAACTATTTTTTTGCATAAATGAATGAATAAAATTTATTGGGAATTCACTTAAAAATAATAAGTAATTTAGGAAAAAAATACTTAAATTTGAAAAATTATCATATGACGGAGAGACGGTTTGTTAAAGATCAATCTTTGAAGGTTTTAAATGGACATCAAATTATATTGAAATTGGTGATTGACAATATAAATAAGGTCCGGTTTGAACGTTTATCAATAACGATAAAAACGTAGCAAAGTGTTGCAGTATTTTAAAAGCCATAAAAATTAAAGAAAAATTTCGATTAATGCGACATGATGTTGGTAATTGAGTTCTTATGTTTATTGGGAGGGGCAGGGAAGGATGTATTATAACTTATTTAATATAATCGAAGATCTGGATTCTCAAAAAATCGAACATAATTTGGGTTGAAAAATTTCCATGAATGTTGTCAAAAAAGCTATTCCTTATTGGAATAAAAACCATAAAGTACGAAATGCGTCGTTGCAGTAAATTTGAGTAAAATTTGTTTCTTTATTTCCAAAAGTTTACACGCTTGAAGATTTGTGTAAATTGTAAGTTATTTGTTATTGACGCTGATAATAAGGCACAATTATCAAATGTGTTCGAATGATTCTTATGAGTATAACGCTTTCATAAATTGTGAGATTGTTACCTTCGAGTTAAAAAGAAAGGTGGAGTTTCGAAACTTCATCAAAAGTACCTACCATTAGAAGAAGTTTTAACTAATGGATTAAAAATATATATATATTTATATATACGGCATTACCATGGAGTAAAAATCTATAGTAGACTTAAAAAGGATAGGTTAAGTAGTTGGCCGATACTGTGAAAAGAGAATTTACGTTTTCTTAACTTTCAAAGATCTGAGGAATAATGTGTTTAAAAACGCTACTTTTTGGACCATTCACAAAATTGACAACATCTACCACATGTACATACACTCCGTTGATTGCTCACAGCTGGTTAGCAATTATATTAATATTAAATAAAGAAATGAATATTTTGCTAGCACCGACTTCGGCATAAAAGCTTGAATAAAAGAAAGTGACATAATTAAATTGTAATATTATCTGTTTTTACATCCATTTTATGTTCTAATTTAAAATAAAGGGTTATATAAATCAGAAAAAGGTAGTCGGTATAAGTTTTCCAATTTCACGACTCAATTGTATAATTTTATTGACTAATCTTTGGCCAAAATTATCATTATCGAATAAACTGAATTAATATATTATTAGGTATAAAATTGAATATGCACAGAGAAAGCAATGGAAGTTCTGCTTGATTAAGCTCACTGTTTTATTTTTTATATCAAATAGAAATACTTTCCAAATAAGTTGATCAAAAAATTAAGAAAATCGTAAAATATAACGTACAAAATAAAGAATTAAAAAATACAATGCCTCGTCATTAATAGGATATTAAAAATGTACACCGAGCTTTTTTATCAATATTAGAATATTTTCAAAAGTTGTATTTGTTTTTAGTCATGCATTTGTAACCCAAAGTTAGAAAATATTGACATTTCTTATAAGAAGATTCACTTTCTGATTATTTTTTTTCTTGAATTAGGCAAATATTCCGTCAACAATTGAAGCGAATGCTAAGACATTGCAGTTATTTTTAAACAAAGCACTTCATACACTAACGAGCAAGTAAAATCTAATTTATTGTTTTATTTTATTTTTCTTTAAATTGACTGAGATTTCTCAAATTTAACACTATCAATGGCAAAATAAAATTGTAATTTTTAATCAGATATTGAAGTTTCCTTCAGTAGTGAAAAGCAGATATTTTAAGCACGAAATGCTAACCAAAATTTACCGGGTTAAATGCGCAATCTCTATCACGTTCTCAAGACGCTAAACACCAAATGACCCGTCATGTCAAATTCACTTTTTTTTACTACTGATATTTTCGTTTTCAATGGCTTAAGGTAAAAATAATAGGCAAAACTTGTTCAATTTTGGAGAATAAGATGAAATAAATCTTAAAAGACATTAAATTAAATTTTAATTGAAGTACGCAAAGTTAAACATAATTTTGCTTAATTATTTAATTCATAAACATTTATTTTAAGTTTGTTTAAGCAATTATTTACGATTCCACCGACGACAAAATATATCGACTAGTATTCAAAATGGCCCATATTATTTATGACTTCAGTTATTTATTAATCTTATAAATTTAAAATTTTATTATTAACAGAGAGAGTATAAATGTTTTAGTTTCAAAAAATACTTTAAATAACACTTGATATGTATTTTATGGACCTTTATTAAAACATAAAAGATTCCCAACTTTAAGGAAGAAAAAACGTAGCAAAATAAATTTATACAGATTTGACTTTAAAAATACCTCAATTCTGTTAAGCAATAAATGTCTTCCAAAATCCGAAATGTTCGCAGTATCAAATCCACGCAGGTGGAGTTTGAACTCCTCTCTGGTTATATCACCCTCGTGGAGTGACCGAGTGAATGAATAGGGGTTTTAGTGGTTAGGGGGATAAAGTTAGTTACCACTCTGAGAAAACTTCCACTCGCGGGCGTGCGCGTACAGCCGTTCTCCGCATGCGCTCATTCGCCTAGGAAAACACGCCCTGGCCGTATCGACCGAACTAATGGAGTTTGGATCGTGCGCGATCCAGACAACCAATGAGAATAAAGTGAGTGGGTGGCGAAAAGAGCTTAATGACCGAAGCAACCACTTCCTCTTGCGACTGATGCAGAATATCGTACAGTGAAAGGCTGGGGGAAATTGTACTCCTCTGTGGCAGTGCTCATTTGAACGCACGAGCTTCTAATGGTGGTAATTTACTATGTAGCAGTAAAAGTATAGAACTCTTAAAATCTAAGGGAGACGATGAACCTAACTTAACGCTATATGTACACACACACATATATATATATACATATGTATATGTAAAAGAGAAGAATTAATTGTCCAGCTTTTATAGTACTTTTACGGCGATTAGTAACTTTCTCCTCACTGCTTAGCACACAGAAAAGACAGTTTAGTTAAGGGGAACCGGTATGACCGTTCAAACAGCATGGCACCAATTTCCAACTTTTATCTGAGGCGTGGTAATGTGTCGAATCTTGCTCCGCCAAACATATGGCCCATTATTGACGTCTCTCGTTGGTTGACCAAAGCAGTTGAAACTAACTTAAGTTCTTGCTTCAAAAAAATTCAATTTGAGGTATGACAGCCACCTAGGTTGCGAGGGTAACACGCCTTCAAGCACTGTGACAATTTGGACAAATGTAGTCGGTGTGACTCCAAGAGAATACTTTGGATTGTATGCAAGACAAGCAAAAGAAGTTTTGTCAATCAGTAAGGAACTAGAAGGGCATTTTAATTGGTCGATTTTTTCCGGTTATTGGGCAGCCCTGTTGTCATCATGTATAGGAATGAAAACATCTTTAAAGCCTTTCAAAGAATTAAAACCTGTACGCATCTGGAAAGAAATGACCGAATTCAATCGCTTAAAGGCTCTGACGAACACACACACAGCACAATCTTGTTTCAAGCAAAAATGTGAGATCTTTTGTAAAATCCAAGCGTATAGTATTATTATTATTATTGTCATCATTATCTAAAGAGAGTCAAGATAGCTTCAGCATATTTTTACTACGATAAAGATTTGGTGTCAATGTAAGCTATTGACCAAAGATGTAACAAAGGCTCGATTCAGCCATGCTGCGCCTTAGATGGGTCAGGAGATGTTTCCCATTAGTGAAGAGGATCGAATTACCAATTTCAATTCAGCTTAAACTGAATTCTAAGGTTCGTTTAATGTTGGTAAAAAATTTTAACCTGAGGAAAGAGGTTCGATTACTTTTATGAAAGCTAATGAAATAGTAACTAGGAGTTTCATAGCAAAAGCTGAACAAACTGATGAAATTGTTTTAGAAATTTCAATTAAAATTCATTTATTTCTGTAACAGGAACAAATCACAGTTTAAAATATTCTTTCATGTGGCATCTCTTGTGAATTCTATTCATTCCATTTATTTGAATAAAGAAATAATCTATTTCTCAAAATTCCTATTGAAAGAGAAATTTGAAGAGCCAATAAAGAGCTTGAGTTTTAAAGAATGGTTCCTTGTAATTAAGATGTCAAGACGTGGTGCATCCTTTTGTAATTTTTTTAATAGTTAATGATACTACAATTAAAATGATTCATTCTGTTACTACGAGTGCCATATTAATGATAGAGCGAGTTTTGTCATTCCATATTCTATGCTAATCGAACTTATTATTCAAAGGAAAATAAATAATTCTTTTTAATTAATAACTACAACACTAATGAAGAAAACATGTTCATGAATACCACTCAGACACTGACATTATTTGATCAAAGCTACAATGTTGTTTATTGATGATTATGTTCGGTTAACTGAATTATTTGAAAAAAATTTGGCTTTTGTAGCCACTTTAATTCGCAAATAAATTTATGTCAGTCTTAATATTATAAAAGGCCATTCTAAGTTCTTTGATGAACACGCTGGACATTCTGGAACGAGTGGCGTGCTACTGATCCCAAAGTCATCAAGTACGGCTATGTTACTGATACCATGAGCCGTGAGTTCAGAGACCTCCCAGCCAATAGTCACGGCATGGTTAGCGTGGCCAAAATTGTATTTTAATATGTAAAAACGGCAATAAACGCTATTACCAATTTTATACCTTGTTATCTCAATATTGTTGAATGAGTTTAGCTAATTTCGACCGTCAATCAATGGTAGTGGGTTCTGCCATATAGATAGATAAGGTTGAATTGAGGCTTATTCGTGTGGCAATCCCCTATCTTTCTCAACAATTTGAAGAAAATCAGTCTAAGTGACAAGATCGATTATTATAAACAATAATTTGCCGAATAATTTGAGTTCTAAATAATGACATTTGAGATTTGGACTATAAAGTAATTAATTAAACAAACATAGTAGAATCTGACTTTGCACGTCAATTGAAGATGCCTTCTTCGGACCCTGATTGTACTTTCAACTACTTTCACTCCTCGTTCTTTTGGCAGCTTATTGAGCAATCAATTCAAGGATTTCAACTGCTTTCAATTTAAATTCGCTTAAAACCATTTTATCCTTCCCCCATCAGAGATGAATCAATAACCACTTTAAGCTTTGTTCACTAGGTCACTTGCATCTATTTGAATATTCCTAAATTAGTGCTTGTATGATAAAGCAATAATCGTCCCATAAATGGAATAAAATTAATTAATAATGTTTATGCGGGCTCCGCTGATATCTCTCAAGCTATTGTCCACATAATTAAATTTAAAGGACAAAACTATATCGGCTTACCTAATTGTACACAAGCAATGTGCAATCGGGATGTGAGTCACATTTTTGGGAAAAATTTTCTTATAATAAACAAATAATACTAAAAGTATGGGATAATCATCGCATGGGAAGAACAGTATTACAAACCGGGGACAAAATTTATAACGGAAATATTTTATAAATTGTGTATTTACAAATAAAATTAAATATCAATGTTTTTTAGTAATGCTTCTCTACCAGAATATCAACATTTGTATACCGCACTTTAAACAACAACCTTTCAAAAATGAAAAAAAAGTCGAAAAATATGACGAAATCCTACCCTATTACAATAAATTTGCACTACTTAATTGCCTGCGAATTTAATTAATAACATTAACAAGCGGCTAGCTATGGTTTGATTTATCCAATAAATAACAAAATTGAAGATAAATTTTAATAAAATTACGAAATTGATTACCGATATTGCCTAAGTGGCCATGAGCATTATCGCACTATTTCTTTGAATAATCTGGGGTGCACCTTGGCAAAGTTTACTCATACGGCAAAAGGTCCATTAACTAGCAGTTGACCTCTGACTTTAAACTACCATGACACGACCCTATGTCATATTCGACTACTTCCACAATATCCACCTCACCTTTTTCTCTACCTCTGCTTCTGTCTGTCTCTTTTACGTCTGCGAATCACTCTTCTGTCCCCCCTCTCAACTTTTTCTTACTTTGATGTTCCTCTCCTCTCTGAAGCTCGAAGTTAGCTAAAGGGTTAATGATAACTATCAAAGCACCTGCCATTTGATACAAATAAATAAATCTTTGAAAATCTTGTTTCTTCTCGTTTAATACACATCAAAGCAACAAAACATGTACTGGAAAACAGGAAAATAATTTTTATGAATTCTTAATATTTATAACTCTGAAGCCAATTTTAATATGATTAATTTGTTTAAATAAAGCAATCTCTTGTGAAAAATGGCATCTGACACGTATGGAAGCGCGTTTAATTATTTTAATTTTCTTTAACATTTGTGTAAAGATATTCCAGAATACATATTCTAGAAGGTAGCAATGAATAGGAGATTTGTTTTTGGAAAATTCTTATAATATTACTTTAGGATAAACAGAAGTAAAGACGAAGCGTCTCATAGACTTGATTTTGTTTTTTGTCTTAAATTTAAGTGATAAATCGATTCAAAGTAGTAGAAACAGGGCAGTGGTACTCACCAACATTAATTCCAAAAAACTTGTGCTTTTTCCTTGTTGTATTCGGCGAAGCTTCTGGAGTTATCGATTCGGAAGGTTTTGTTGTTGGCCTCGGTGGTGGTGGTCTGGAAGGCTCTGTTTTGGAATGCTCAGGAATCTCCTTAGGAAGTGGCGGCACAGGTGGTGGAGCAGGCTTATTGATTGGCAATGGAGGTCGACTTGGTGACCTTTGAGTTATATCCTGATTGGATGGGGAAGTGACAAGAATAGCGGGCGGAGATGTTGTTAAATTGTGTCGTTCTGCTCGAAACATAGCTTCACTGAAAGGATCTTGATGCGGATCGGGTTGAGGTAAAGATTGAGGATTGTTATAGTAATCGTAGCCATCTTGATGCACCTCTCTATAACCCTCCTGACCAGTGTTTTCGTTGTCGTCGCCTTCCAGTATGTCTTCACGTATCTCGGGTACACTTTCTTCCTCCTCTGGTTGCTGAGGTTGATGCTGTTTTTGATCCTCAAATTCTTCCTCTGAATAGGAAATATCACTATCATCCACGTCGATTGAAGACTCTGTTCTTCGAACTGTCGAAATTGATCCATCCTCCGTTTCCTCTCGTTCCACTTCTGGATAGGAAAAATCATAAATTTGGTCAGAGGGTATTCCGCACAGTGTAAATTCTGGGTCTTCATTTTCATAATACTTTTCCTTAGTCTCTATTTCCTCACTATCCACGTACGAAGTATGACCTATTGATCCGTTTTCGCTTTCAACCTCCTGGTTTTCGTATGTGAATGTATCCTTAGTTCCTGTTTCAATATCACTAACATCTGTAATGTCGAAGCAATCAGCAGAGGCCAAAGGTGCAGGATAAGCACTGGAAGCACGGACTGGTACTTGGCTATTACGAGTTCTTTCAAGTGATCGACTTGAGTGCTCTCGCTTTGTGGTATGGAGGGGAACATGAGGATGGTGGACATATTCCGCGAGTTCCTCCGCGTCTGTGCTACTAATCGAGGTGCGTTTGAGAGAGAGGGTCTTAGACAATCGCCGAACGAAATTTGAGATTGGATTTACCCGTTCTCGACTCATTTTTTGGGAAGCTAAATTTTACAAACAGGCTAACACGTGGGCATCGGGACAGAAGGCAAAAGTGACTGAGAGCGTTAAGTGCGTATCCCCAAAACTACGCTTTAGTGAAGACTGAGTCGTAGTCCTCATTGCACACCGCCAATTCATTCTGACGGTCGTACAAGCATTGATTCTGATAGTTTGGGCAGTGCGCGAGTAAGTAGTAAGGCTGACACGCAGGATAATCTCGCCTGTCTGTCCCACTTAAATGCCTCATAATTTCCTCCGCAATTTCTAAGTTGTACAATCGACGATGAGACTACATATTTCTGGCAGAATATTCTTACAAAGTGGTGTGGTTCATCTAAATTTAGGTGTAGATATTAAGTGTCATCATGTATCTGCTTTTGAAAAATATCGAATAATTTCATTTTACTTTTTTTAACATAAAATATATGTTGAATTATAGTTAGGAATAAATTAGTATTTTCAGTTCCGAATTATTAAGATCTTAGAGACTCGCTGTAACGAATAATCAGTTTTAATAAAGTGCTAAATTACAGGCCAAATGTTCGATCGACAAGGCACGTCTCTAATTCGACGTAAACAGTTAATATTTCCTACCATACGTAAGCTCACACTTAAGGTATAACGTGCGCATTGAATCTATGCTTATAAATGGGGAGGGGGGGGGGTTTAAAAATATTGTTTCGATGGGATATAAATCAAATTTTATCAGCAATGCATGTGAGTGCAACCATATTATCAGTTAAGCTCACAAACATTAGGTTTCCGATACAGATAAATTTCGTTTTAAATAACTGCCAATAAAAACAAAAAAATGTTCAAAATATGGTGAAATTCTTATGTATGAGTCATCGGGCTCAAAGTGCCCACCTGTCAATAAAGAGGTAATTGATTGCATAAATTTCAAGAAATTGAAAGCACTCTGACTGGGTGAAGAATATATGCTACTTATTTATTCCAGTAGAACTATTTTATATTGAAATAAAATGAACAAATACTATAATTACCGAGGAATTAGTGAGGAATTATTTATATCAAACGGCAGACGTTTTGATAGTTATCATTAGCTCTTCAGTTGACTTCAGGCTTCGCAGAGGGGAGGAGGAACATCAAAGTGAAAAAAAGACTGGAGGGGGGAGGGACAGAAGAGTGTTTCAAAGATGTAAAAGAGACAGACACAAAGGCAGAGAAATGGTAAGGTGAATACTGTGAAAGTGGTGGAATATGACATAGAATGGGACCATGGTAGCTTGAAGTCAGAAGTCATCTGCCGGTTAATGAACTTTTTTGCCGTATGAGAATACGTTGCCCAAGGTGCACCACTTGGAGGCAAGTCTATCACCCACCCCTCGTGGGGAAATATCTATTTTTACAAAATAAAATTGGAATGAAGATATGTCTTCGTACAGGAATAAACCTCAACAGAAGTCACAATGCATCTATCTTATCCTAGTTTTACTCTGGAGGCGCCAACGGAAATGTCTCGTCGGTCTGGGTAAGAAAAGCAGCTTGATACACCAATTAGCCTTGACTTATGTCCAATAACCCCCTTAGCAAGATCTCCTAGCTCATAAAAGCCCACAGGATTAGCTAAGCTACTGATAAGCTATGGTGAAAGAAGACGTATGACGCGGAAAACGTTTATTTGGGCTATGTGGCAATGACACGGAGAGTAGTCATTTTTATTCAATGAAAGGTTTGGAAATCAATGTGGGGATATTGATTGGTGACTGGCTGAGATTTCTCTGGGTGCACGACTGCACTTGCTCCCTACGTAGTTACACGGTCACACCCTCGAGCCTGTGTGAGCGTGCATGAGATTTCTTTGTTCAGCCATGGCACCGTTGTGCACTTCACAGATTTTAAAAAAATGCTAAAAACTTTCAAATTATTTCTTAATAGGTGCAAAATACACCAATATAGAAAGAACTTGAGATAGGGATCTGTTCCAATTTGATTATTTAATGAATAGCTATAAGAGCATACAAAAGTGGCCGAATTTCGAATTTTATTTGGCATATTGTCAACTAATAGTCTTCGATTAAATACCCGATAGAGTAGAACGAAAAGGTGAAATTCTGAATTTTAGTAGAAGTAAGAATTCTCAATCTGAAGATACAAAAATGGAATCCCATGCAAGCGTTATTTTTAATGGAATCCACCAACTTGCATAATGTGACAATAGCAGAACACCGCTTCTGTAAGATCTGATTGAATTCAATTTTAAGTGATACTTCATTTTGGGTGATACTTCCGTAAAACTTAATCTTCCAAAGCCAATAAAGAGGCTTGTACAGCCTTTTGTGAGTACTCGATAAATATACTGCTTCCTACTGAACTTTCTTTTAGTTTACTGTCTCCAATATAATAAAAATGCAATTTTAAGAGAAAACCTGTTCAGCTCTCCTGGGTACCTCCTTCTCCCTCCCCGCAGTCCATTTTGGTTTATTCAACAACTTGGTAATGAGTGAAAAAAAAATGAAAATCATCAACATCAACAGTGTCATTTTTGTGGAATTTTAAAACATTAACTACGTTTACCCGTGTATTTAAAAAAAAACATTAGATCACTTTCATAACTACAGTCCTATAAGTTGTTTTGAAATCGTTGAGATTAGCATTCTATTTCTGAGGGCATCGAAGTCAAATCAAATGCCGAGTGATAGACTTTTTTGCCGTAAAAAGATACGTTACCCAGTGTGCACCACGTGAAGGTAAGTCTATCGCGACTTCGATTCATTATGATTAGCTTGAAACAAGGCTATCAGAGAAATCACCCTCGTCAGGGCGAATCACAACGTCTTCAGATCCTCCAGTGGAATGCTGGAGAGATGTCACAGGACAAAAAGATCCAAGTCCAGAAAATCCTACAAACCTATGATGTAGACATTTTCATAACTATGGAAGCAAACATTTCGGATGACAAACTGAAGTACTACCAATTCCCAGGTTACACCCTGTACCTTCTACCTAAATACCGGCAAGGTGCAAGTGGAATTCTAACTGGAGTAAAAGAAGGCCTCACCTCACACTACGATCTAATCAAGAGTATGGGCTCGACACAAGACATATGTGAAATAGTCAGATTAAATGTTTGGAAATGTCAAAACCACTTTAAGATATATTCAGTCTATAATCCACCTCAGAATAGTCTCAACTTTGACTTTCTGAACATCTCATACAAAACTGTAGTATTAGGAGATCTTAACGCCCATTCCACCAGATGGGGNGACTAAAAATATTTTTGTTAAAAGAATACGTGACTACGATTGCTGAATGCTATTTTCCAAATCCAATGCGAAAAACGTTGTGTTCTCAAATTATGGTCTAACATATTTACCCACGAAGTGGAAAAAAGCCAGAATGGGAAGAAATGGCACTTAATACGAATTGGTACAAACACTTTATTCCTTTTACCAAAATATATTCAAAAATTGCAAACAGAAGAATTAAAAAGTCGTGAAATTGAACAAAGGAGGGATATGCGCCCCACTTTCTGTCGAAATATGCAGTTTCTATTATGTTTGAGACTTAACTGAAATCCATTCTTTATTCTGTAAATGCGCAAAATCGTTATGACAGATTGGTGCTATAATTCCTGTTAATATTACTGCTTCATAACTCTATGAATGATAAGGACGGTAGTCAATTTCCTTGTTGAGGTTCTATATTTAAATTTTCATCTCCCTCGTCAGGGCGAATCACAACGTCTTCAGATCCTCCAGTGGAATGCTGGAGGGATGTCACAGGACAAAAAGATCCAAGTCCAGAAAATCCTACAAACCTATGATGTAGACATTTTCACAATTATGGAAGCAAACATTTCGGAAGANAATGCCGAGTGATAGACTTTTTTGCCGTAAAAAGATACGTTACCCAGTGTGCACCACGTGAAGGTAAGTCTATCGCGACTTCGATTCATTATGATTAGCTTGAAANCTCTATTAGAAAACCAACATACTGTATACCAATATGGGTAAAATTTTGCATATTAGCACATCAATATGACAGTTGATGTCATGGTAGAATATAACCCATAAATGTTTCACCCATTAAAAGTAAGTTCAAAATAAAGCTTACTTTTCAGACAAACTCCTTAGAGAAAGCAGAAAAAATTAAATAGATTTTTGACCCTCAAATATGTCAATAGCGTAAACACTAAGTGTGAAATAAATCTTTGGATAAATTCATTACCAAAGAAAATCTGAGTCAGTAATATCATACCAGTTAAAATTTGTGTAACCATAAATATAGAAATCATGAATAATTTAGAGATTAATTTACAGGAAGATCAAGCAGTTTGAGACGAAAACCGGAAGTAGTCAATAAAATTACGATTCGTCAGCTTAAACAACCTATTAGTAATAAACAAAAATATACGAAGATTATGCTTAATTGACACACACATAATATCAAACAGTTCTTGAACTTCGATAATAAAAAAATAATATCTAAACCAACTATTAATGGGCAAATTAAATCCCTAATGACACATGTCCAAAATGTAGATAAACAAAAGCGAAACCACTAGTATGAAAGATTGGGTCATAACTTCTATTCATTACTTCTTCAAACTCAAATAATTGTAAGAGAACAAATGAAGAACCTAGTTTCATAGACAAAATAACATTCACTCTGTGAAATGATGATATGAAGTGTCAACTAAACTTGTTTCTAACAGTTTAGAACACGCCAAATAAGGTAAGGATTAGATAAAAGTACCAAAGCAAAAAAGGAAATATTAATCTACCAAATATAGAAACATGAATAAATCTAAAATCACTCATCTCCGCTGTATAAAATAATATAGTTGCTAAAATACATACCAATAGAAATAATCTTATGTTTCACATAAGGGGTGGCGATAGACTTACCTCCACGTGGTGCACCCTGGACAACGTATACTCATGCGGCAAAAAAGTCTGTCACTTGGCAATTGATTTGATTTGACTTCGATTTATTATGATTAGCTTAAAACATGGCTATAAGAGATT